CAAGCACCGCCCAGTTTCAGTTAATGCAACACAAATCATTCATGTAATCCAACACAAACGGATTAAGTAAACTTAAATTTTACATATATTTAAGCAGATTGAACACAATCAAATTAGGTTTGGACAAAATATATAGCAATTGTGTTGCTTAAGCTCATTTTAAAAAAGCAATTTGAACAAGCAGCAAAACATTTTTTGAGTGTAGTCGTGCAGTGTGAAAAGTAGTGTGACCCGAAAATCGTGCAGTGTGAACTCGACATTAGTCAAGCATTACAGGCATTACAGTTTGTTGCATGTTCCCATGTTGAAGTAACAAACCTCATTAGTCAGTAAAGGAGCTGATATTGTTCTGCATGCATGCAACATCTAAATTGCAACTATTCTCCAGTCTCCAGTTTTTCGGAGTCTTTAAATTCACAGTTGCATATTCTCAGGGATGATTTGAAAAGGACAGCTAGCGGACAGCCTTCTCCAGAAACATATGAAGTCTGAGCCGGAGCAATATCACAAGTGTGCCGAGCTGTTGCGATGCTTCTGCTCTTAGAGGAGTTTTGTGGGCGTGAGAAAATTTGAACAGAAAAATGACAATGATAAACCAAAGCAGGTCGCAGAGACTATAAAAGTAGGGCCTTCGAAAAATCTTCAGACATATCGAAAAACTTGATTGCATTTGAAAAGGTCTCGGGCTGTCACGAAGAACTTTGAATGGATGAGGGACACTGGGGTTCAGATAGCAATCTTGCCATGGAAATTATACCGCATCTGCTCTGCCGAAATCTGTCTCTCTCTGACCATCAAACACAAACACAAAGCGCAAACTCGATTGAATGCACAACAAAACAGAAGATTCTAATCAAGGCTAATCACTAGAAATGAATGCAAACTATGAAACGCTGTCATTTAACACCAGCATGCATATTAAATGAAACTATGAACCATTAATGTGTGATAAATGCATCATATCAGGACATTAATTATTCAAAGCCGTGGCAAGATTCATAAGACCTCTGCACCGTTTCACTACTGATTTCACTGACAGATGCCAAATGTGTGTGTACTGGCAGGACATTTTTCACGCCCAGTAAAGCTCAAAGCACTTTACACTCATAAGCAGTTAAATTAGAGGTCAAATTGTATATTAAAGCATGTGATCAAAAGGCCCACACAAACATATCTCTGGAAAAGAGTTGAGTATTGTATATGCAGGACTGTTTCCCCAGCAATACTCATATTTGTGGCCTATCATCATTCTAAAAACATTTTTGAGTGACCTATCCCTTTAAAGGCTGAACTCCAGCTCAGTATCATAAAGAGTTCACCATATTGATATTCAAATGCTGTTGCGACGTCCCTTCACTTGAGTCAGGACAGCTATCAATCTCCAGATGACAGTCAACACCCTGTTAGAGAACAATCTCCAGAGTCATGACCTTGTGGGCATATACGTGTGAATATCCCCGCCAAATTACCATCAAAACCACACCCAAAGGCCTCATCATGTCCATCTAATGTTATAAAATCAGTTCAGCAGCACTTCAGGTGGGTCATGCTTTTCAAACTGCATAAATATGAATATGCATGTATAAATATATAAATAGTCAGTCATTGCTCAGCGACTGACAGACAAACCAACTGATGCAACCAAACACAGAATTATTCAAATGAACTCACTAATGTTGTTGTGGTGTTTTCCCTCCAAAATGATGTCACTTCCTGGAGGACGATGTCATGAAGGAACTGGCTTTTGTTAGTCAAAGGGATTTTACACAAGACTAACAGTGATATTAATTACATAAGCCTAAACTTAAAGAAATTCTAAGACAGTATTTCTATGAAAAATATTTTATTTGAAGCATTAAATACTTTTTATTCATTAATGAATCCTAAAAAAAAGTATCAGGGGTTCCAAAAGAATTTTATGCATGTACAAATGTTGGATCATGTGACACTGAAGACTGGAAGTAATGATGCTGAAAATTCAGCTTTGATCACAGGAATAAATTACAATGTAATTAAAATGTAATAATATTTTGCAATATTACTGTTTTTTGTTCTGTATTTTTGATCAAATAAATGCAGGCTTGATGAGCATAAGAGACTTCTTTCTAAAACATTAAAAATGGTAATGTTTCCTAACTTTTGACCAGTACTGTATATTTGTGTATGTGTGTGTGTGTGTGTGTGTATATATGACACACACACACACACATATATATATATTTATATTTATATATGTGTATGTGTGTATATATGTATATCCAATCAAACCAAAGTAGTGAAATGTATTTGTAACTAACATGGTTTGCATCTTCAAAAATTGAGTCTAATATTTTATTTATTAAGTCAAATGGGCGCACAAAACTGTAGCTGCACAGTAGGAATGACCCAATAAATCAAGTGTGTTATTTCTAAACAATCCTCTGCTAAGTTTCCCCACGCAAATCACCTCTCCCAGCAGAAAACATAAAGCACTAATGTGCATGTGCACGCAAACACCTTTCCTCCAGCACTGCAGTGCACTGAGCGTGCTATAAATCACCTTATATTATCATAGCGCTCTACTAGGCTCCGCCCCTCTGTGCTCACGATTGGCCAAGTCTCCTCCTTGGGTCCCCGCCCCCTTCCTTGCCGCTCGCTGATTGGCGGAGGAGCTTCTCCTTGAGCTGTCAATCAGAGGCTTCTTTCGTTCTCCGCTCTGAAGCGATGCACAGTGATTCTGATTCACTGAACTGATCGTTAGAGCACACAACATCCCACTAAACCATCCGAACTGTCGTGTTCTCGTTTTCAGTGCATGCTCTTGCTTTGAATATAAAAATCTGAGGTGGTATACATTATAATTTTCCTTCTTTTTTTTTTGCGCAAGGATTTATAAACACATCCTCTGGCACTCCAAACGCCAACAGATTGTGTTTGGTCTCCTTGCAAAGGGTCACTTGGGAGAATCGACCCGTCTTGTGGCACTCCTGGCACACTTGGAAGATTTGTGGACTGCGGACGTTTCGTCAAATAGGACACAGGGACGGACAACTGCGGTTTATGCGTGTTCCCGTTCATAGAAGATAAAAACGGACTGTTGCTGCAAGAACTGACGCTGAGAAATAAGAAACCATCAACTCAAACATGAGCTGCGCAATGTTGCGACACGCGCTCGCTTTGCTCTTGGCGTTGCTGTGGAAAGGTAAGTTGCAATTCTTAAAGCATTCTTCTGGAGAAAATGTTCCTCACTCGTTCCTTGCTTCATTCTTTGCTGGGACCTGGAGTGGAATACTAATGCGGCTCCTGGGGTCTACCTGCCAATGAATCATGTGCGCGCGTGTGTGTGTGTGTGTGTGTGTGATCAAATCATAGAGACAAGTGCGCTCCACAACACACGAGTTCTGCATAATAACACTTTGGGAGGGAAAACATCAATACAGCTTTCCTCGTTTCTGTGTCTGTGTGTAACAAGTCAGCGGATGCCTTTACAGATATTGTGGCACCAATTTTGTTTTGTTTTTTCATGACCAAGATCAATGCTTTTTTTGTGTAAGTGTCCGATAATAACCAAAATGCAAAACAGCTGTTTAACACAATGATTTATCAATTAGGCTACTTTGTATCACAGCTACCGTTCATATTAATTCATCGTTTTTAGATGCCTAATGTTTTCCATATTTAATTCCATATACATATATTTCCAAAATTTTGTTTTGGTATTTATAATATATCTATATTTATTTAATTATAATATTATATGTGCACAGTGGTTTGATGCTATTTTAGGGTGCTATTCTTTAGAGACCCAGCAGATGGCATTAATCAATAGACCCCATACTCAGAAACCGATTATGGGTATTTTTATTTTTAAGTGACTGCATGCATATAATAATAATAATAACCATTAGACTGGTGATTCTTTTTATTATTGCTGCTATTGCTGTTGTTATTAAAATTGCAATTTTAATTGTCATTATATTAGCATATATTGTATTCATATTAAATGTCATTTTTAATTGTATATTTATAGAATATTAGAATTTTAATGTTGAATAGACAGTGATGTAATGGTGTTGTTTGTGGCTATTCTTTAGAGACCCAGCATTTATCGGTAGAACCGATATTCAGAAACCGATAATAGTTATTTTTACTTTTAAGTGTCTGATATGCAAATAATAATATAAATATTAATGAGTGACTCATGAATATTTTATGCAGTTGTGATTTCTGCTGTTGTTGAAATATTATTATTGCCATATTCATTGCTCTTATATTAGTATGTATAATACTAATTTGAAATTTTAGTTGTAGCCTATATTTATAGGTTTATAATTTTAATGTTGAATAGACAGTGATGTAATGATGTTGTTTGTGGCTCTTCTTTAGAGACCCAGCAGGGGGCATTTATCGGTATAGAAATGATATTCAGAAACCAATAATAGATTTTTTTTACTTTTTGTTACTTTCAGTCTTACATCAGACTGATATACGTCTGATGTGCAAATAATAATAACTAAATATTAATTATAATTAGTGACTCACCATGAATATTTTATTGTTATAGTTGTTATTTCTACTGATGTTGATTTATTAATATTGCCATACTTGTTATTATATTAGCCTATATTAAAGGTGCTCTAAGCGATGTTAGGTGTCGTCACTTCTTGTTGACTTTCGAAGTATTGCTAGCTATCTCGACCCTCCCTCCTCATCCTGTCCCCTCCCCCTCCCTTGTGTTGGTAAGGCGAACATGAACGTCCATTTATAAAAACAAAAAAATGGATTCACCAGTCCAGCAAAAACAGAGCTACCTGAATGTCGGATTGGAAGCTCTTCTGCCGGCGGAGATCTCGCCACCTTTCAAAGGCATTTCCAATGTAAATTCGGGACTTCACGCGTTCCTTATCCTTTTCCCCTTATTTGCAATTTGTTCATCAGAACGTCATCTCTTTATATCATCTTAAAGATAATATAATTCTAACTTTCCTCTTCATGCTTCTCTCTCCTCCACACCCCCCTTCATGTGTACGCGCACTAACCCCCCAAATCCTCCAAACCCCACCCCCAAATCCCTACACCCCACCCCCAAATCCCTCAAACCCCACCCCCAAATCCCTCAAACCCCACCCCCAAATCCCTCAAACCTCACCCCCAAATTCCCCATACCCCACCCCCAATCCCCCATACCCCACCCCCAAATCCCTCAAACCCCACCCCCAAATCCCTCAAACACCACCCTCAAATCCCTCAAACCCCACCCCCAAATCCCCCAAACCCCACCCTCAAATCCTTCAAACCCCACCCTCAAATCCCTCAAACCCCACCCCCAAATCCCCCATCCCCCACCCCCAAAACCCCCATACCCACCCCCAAATCCCTCAAACCCCACCCCCAAATCCCTCAAACCCCACCCCCAAATCCCTCAAACCCCACCCCCAAATTCCCCATACCCCACCCCAAATCCCCCATACCCCACCCCCAAATCCCTCAAACCCCACCCCCAAATCCCTCAAACCCCACCCCCAAATCCCTCAAACCCCACCCTCAAATCCCCCAAACCCCACCCCCAAATCCTTCAAACCCCACCCCCAAATCCCTCAAACCCCACCCCCAAATTCCCCATACCCCACCCCAAATCCCCCATACCCCACCCCCAAATCCCTCAAACCCCACCCTCAAATCCCTCATACCCCATCCCCAAATCCCTCAAACCCCACCTCCAAATCCCTCAAACCCCACCCCCAATCCCTCAAACCCCACCTCCAAATCCCCCAAATCCCCCAAACCCCACCCCCAAATCCGCCAAATCCCTCAAACCCCACCCTCAAATCCCTCATACCCCACCGCCAAATCCCTCAAACCCCACCTCCAAATCCCTCAAACCCCACCCTAAAATCCGCCAAATCCCTCAAACCCCACCCCCAATCTCTCAAACCCCACCCCCAAATCCCTCAAACCCCACCTCCAAATCCCTCAAACCCCACCCCCAATCTCTCAAACCCCACCCTCAAATCCCTCAAACCCCACCCCCAAATCCCCCAAACCCCACCCCCAAATCCCTCAAACCCCACCTCCAAATCCCTCAAACCCCACCCCCAATCTCTCAAACCCCACCCTCAAATCCCTCAAACCCCACCCCCAAATCCCCCAAACCCCACCCCCAAATCCACCAAATCCCTCAAACCCCACCCTCAAATCCCTCATACCCCACCCCCAAATACCTCAAACCCCACCCCCAATCTCTCAAACCCCACCCCCAAATCCCTCAAACCCCACCTCCAAATCCCTCAAACCCCACCCTAAAATCCCTCAAATCCCTCAAACCCCACCCCCAAATCCCCCAAACCCCACCCTCAAATCCCTCAAACCCCACCCCCAAATCCCCAAACCCCACCCTCAAATCCCCCAAACCCCACCCTCAAATCCCTCAAACCCCACCCCCAAATCCCCCAAACCCCACCCCACTTTTTTACAGTGTGTTCAGGGGACAGCCAGCTAGCGGATGTGACAAAACATTTTTGGCCTAAAAAAACGCGTGACATCGCTTAGAGCACCTTGAACAGACAATGGTGCTACAGTGTTGTTGGTGGCTATTCTTTAGAGAACCAGCAAATGGCACTTCACTGAATATCGGTGATTATCTACGTGCAATTACTTGTTGAATTTAATATTCTCTCTGAAATGGTTGATGCAAATTGCTTCAATATATTTTTAGTGAATGGTGATATGTGAACCTGGTGATAATCCCACACTAGTAGACACAAATGTTATGTTGCTGCAGTTTCGACACTAACTGTTGACAAAGGAGTGTGTGATTTGTGTGAAGAAGATGCACTTCTAGCTATCATCTTTGTGATTGTTCAGAGACAGTCGCACTTGGTGAAATGGTTAATATCAGAAAGATGAAGAAAACCAGACACAGCTGGGTGATTCGTATGGATCTGGAGGACTATTGTTGTATTATTGATCTGTCAGGGAACGCATGGGGCATCAGGGATGGAATAATAGCTTTTGGTGAGCTGTGAATGGATGAATACTTGCTTTGAAATGATGTTTGATCCCACTTTTTGAGCCCTTTACCATGATGAACACAAATTTAATCATTCTTGCCCTGTGGGAGGAGTTTTTTTCCCTGCATGTGCACGCAAAGTGTCTCTTGCACTCCTTGCACTTCAACTAATGCATGCCACCTATTAAAGTTGGCATACATCGTGTGTTAATCAGAATCGATTTTCATTATCAGAGGACAGTGCTGCTGATGCACAGATGCAAACATGAACGTTCTGCTGTTATTCAGTCTTAATGCCGCTCTTTTTTGCATGCCAATTTCACCTTTTGTGTTCCTTGGGGAAAAAAAGTGTCAGCCTGAAGGTGAGTAAATAATGATGGCATTTTCCCTTTTGGGGGAACTATTCTTTTAACATTGCAAATCATGCAAGATGGACTTGTTGAAGGACAAGCGACAGTGTGTGAGAGAAGAGCGTGTTTTAATGTTCATGTCAGCGTGTGTTTTGGATGTTGGGAGGGGTAAACTCGACACCCTGAGAGTTTGTTCTCCCTCAGACTCAACAGTGCTGATGATGTTTGCTCTGGGGAAAATCTGTCTGAAACTCATTATGGTTTTTTCTCACAATTCAGCAGTTCTGCACAAGGGAAATTGATTCAGGCGTCTGATAATTTGATATGTACTGACCACATAATTTACACTCGCGCACAGTTGCTGGCCTTTCTAATATTGATTTTGTTTTTTTTTGTCTTTTTCCATCATCCATGTTTGAAGTGCAGAATCTGATTAACCAAAAGATCCTAAATATATATTTTTCTTGCATAACTGTGTCAGCTGGTATTGCTGGTATAAAAAAAATACGTCTCGTCTTTGAATAAACTCCAAATGGCTTTAGATAAAAGCGTCTGCCAAAGGAATACATGCATTTTCTTATAAAATATTTTTAGATCACTCCTAATGAAATGACTTGAAATGAAAAAGGTGTCCTGAGATATCACACCTGTCTCTGTGACAGAATTAGACTGTTCAAAAAAAGATCTGCACTTTTTATACAATTAGAAAACTAATTATTATTCGAAGTTTGAAATAAAACAACGATTGTAATGTTGGCTTGACAAAACCAACATATTTGAAATCCTATTTAAACTTTTAATATTATTCTATGACTGTGTCTGAAATCACACACCATATGTATGATACTACATTTGGTTTGATACTTCCTTTTCCTTTAAAAAGTATGTTCTATACTATAGTATGAATGTGTGTAGTATGAATGAAATCTGGATGTTGTCATTGTCATGTGACCTACCACACCTTAGCAATAGAATCGCTATTGGCTGGGACATTTTTTTCGCCTGACTGATATACTGTTTTATATATATGATTCCACCAAATCAGCTTATCTTTATAAAATGGCACAGCTTTTTAAATATCTGAATGTAAACTCTTAACATCCGTCAATCAAGCTTTATATTATGATATTATGATAATCAAGCACTATGTAATGATAGAACTTTAGTAATTTTGAACTAAAACTTAGTAACCATGTATGAATGCATATTTGTCATTTTAACTGAACATTTTAACATAGGACTGGTGGTGGTGAGCTTAAGATATTGTTGGTCATTCAGCGTTTCTGTAAAAAAAAAGTAATAGTAATTATTATTAATAACAATATACAACGCACTAAGGATTGGTAAACAGTGGGGTTCATGAATATTAATCACGTTGTCAGCATTCGCTCGAACTGATTTGCTGAAATCAAAACAAGGACGGTAATAGATGAGCGCCAACCAATGAGATTACCGTTTGCGCATTAGTTCCGCCCACTACCGGAGAGTCCAGCAAATCTTCTGCTTGTTCTTAAAGGCGTGGTATAATGCCCCTTTCAAAAGATGTAAAATAAGTCTCTGTTGTCCCCAGAGTAGTTATGTGAAGTTTTAGCTCAAAATACCCCACAGATATTTTTATATAGCATGTTAAAATTGTCACTTTTTGAGGGGGAGCAAAAACGCACTGTTTTTGTGTCTGTCCCTTTAAATGCAAATGAGCTGCTGCTCCCGGCACAGAGGGCGGAGTTTCAAGAGCTTGTGTGTGTGTGTGTGTGTGTGTGTGTATGTGTTAGCAGCTCCGATTACCGCATGCAGACATGCACTAAAATGTCAGAAACTGTTCTGCCTTTTATGTTTAAAGTCGGACAAAGATGGAGAAACTCAAGAAGAAGTGACAACATGTAGAATACAACAGGATGTTTCTGAATGGTTAGTTGATGAATATATGTTGCTGATGTGGAGTTACCTATCTTTAATTAGCATATTCTGTCATGATAATCTATAAAATCGCTCATTTAGGAACTGTTGTGACATGCACACGGTGACTTGCATGTGAGAAGGGTTGGTGATGTCACTAACCGTGAGGAATGTCGTGTAGTTCCTACCAGCCGTTTGTTAGTCCTTAAAAAACGATTTCTTTAAAAGCAAATATCGTCCTTTGCTTTGAACTTTGAGCGTTGTAACTTTGCAGATGTTGTTTATGCTCAAACAGCAACATTACACACTAGCTAAAGTTAGAAAAGTGAAATCATAATCAACCACCCCTTTAAAAGCATGTTAAATTATATAGCCATGTGCTAATTCGTGCTAAACATGACTTCAACGTGCTAAATCATGTTAAAACATGTTAGCAACTTGCTAAAACATTTCAACAATATGTTAAAATATGTTAGCAACTTGCTAAAACATGTTAGCAGTGTGCTAGAAGATGTTAATAAAAAATAGTTTTTCAAACTTTCAAACATTTTAATCTTCAAACTTCAAGCTTTTCAAAGAAATTTCAAACTTTCAGACAAGGCTTTGTCAAGCCAACATCAGAGTTTGTCATCAGACTATACTGGAGTATGTTTTACAAGAAAATACTATTTCAGTCTTTCATCTTTATTCTGAATTACTTAATTTCATCTTTAACTCAATACGTTACTTGCCATGTTTGTGAAATTTACCATGAAAAATCTAAGTGAAAATTTTTCAAAGTAATTCCATTTTTTTTATTCAGTGAATAACGTTTTTTACTCAAAAAAGTACTATGCACTGAAAAACAAATAGTAGAAATTGCTAGTTAATTTCACAATTAACAAGAAATAGCAAGTAACACATTGCAATTAAAAGTGAAATTAGAAAGACTCGAATTGTATTTTCTTGTAAGACGTAAGCCTACTACAAGTAAATACTCTGGGATCACAGTTTCACCATAGTCTGATACCCTTACTGTACCACTACAGTACTTTTATGCAAATGAATCAAGAATGCAAAAGCCTCATTAGTCTCTACATCAAAGGCAGAGGAGTTCCTGTTCTCAAAACGTGTTTAGTTCAATTTGCTCATTCTTTCCTCGACATTTCCAGGACTTATTCGACAATATACCACAGTGGGATTGTGGGCAGCTCACCAGTAGCTGGAAGATTTCTGGTTCCCTGCCCTGGTTTTGTACCCTTGAGCTGGTCATGTGACCTAGACTTCAGTGCCACATGCATCGCCGCTTTCTCTTGACCCAACACACATGCCTTGAAACGACTGAGGCTGCTTAGCGGCCTTTATGTAATCGAATTAAAATGATGTTTCTGAATGCGGCCTTGACTGACCTAGACCAGACAAAAAAATCTGAAAAATATCAAAGATGAGTTATTATCGCAAAACCAGTCATGAATCGGTATTTTCCTAATTGTCTTTTTAATTGCTTTTAATGGAGAGAGAGAGAGAGAGAGAGAGAGAGAGAGAGAGAGAGAGAGAGAGAGAGAGAGAGAGAGAGAGAGAGAGAGAGAGAGATTGCATTTGTTCTGTTTGTCTTGCAGGGCATATTTTGCTTCGACATTTTGCTTTCACAGTGAATACTAATCACACTGCAACACAATAAGTCCCTGCAGGGTATCTAAGGGGGCTTTCACAAGAGAAGTTTTGCTGCAGACTCCAGTCCGTTTGACGTCAAAGCTCGCGGTTTGCTTTGTTGGTACAGTTCATTTGGACTCTGGACTAAATGAACCAGTGTTTATGACTTATAATGTGCCTATTATGAAGCATTTCTCATTTTCTTTGCGCTTCTTGCAATAAATCTGCAGCAGACAGAAGTGATAATCTGTGCATGTTTAGTTTAGGGAGCAAAACCAGGGATGAATACTAATAACTAAAGCTGCGTGATAATGGTTTAAAACTAATAATCATGATTGTTTTGTGCAAAAATTCTAATCACAAATTCAAAATTTAGAAATTTACTTGAGCTACCCGATTCTGGATAAACTAAGAATCACATTTATTTATTTTTAAATAGAGATAACAAATAACGATCTGCCACGATTCTGAAAAGACAACTGAACAAATAACATGACGTTTGCTAGAAGATCTGTCATTTTTCAGTCACTTGTCGCCACCTACTGGCGTAACAATGTAATTGACGCAATCTTTATTTAAAGTCCCCCTGTCGTTAATAATCCCTTGAAACTCATCTTTGATCACCAAAATGACATATTTA